CCCCATTAATTTAGATCTGAATAATATACCTTTTTATCCATTAAAATCAGGAAACCCTTTATGGAAAGAAGACTACATACATTCAATTGTATATTCCATTAGAGAACATTGGAAATATTTTTGGATAGAGCATAGTAACACAATTTTTAATCAAAATTTATTTATAGAAGAGTCCATTGATGTTTCAGGGTATGGAAGATGCAATTCATATTTTATTAATACGATTATCTATTCATATACATATATATCATACGTGTAAATTTGTTTATTTAAAAAACGTGAGAATTACATTGTTTAAAATTAAGGAACATCTGGTCGATTGCATTTAAGTACGTTTAAGGACGAAAGTTATTTGCATTCAAGGCGCTGATAAATTCTATTTGTACCCAAGATTTATCTGAGGTTTTTTTTTGTAATGTATTCTTTGAAATTTTCGGAACTTGATCTGGGCTACTGAGTCTCTAAATTATTAATTCCAAGTCATTATTAGGATTTTGCTTTGTGGCGACAACCGGAGGCGTACGAGGAGAGAAAAATTCTGAGTACATGGCGTACCATTAAGTTGCGAAATTTATGGTGACCTCTGCTCAAATCGAGAGTTGTAAGAACATATCATTTCGAAAGTTCAATTCCTTTTTACTCATATCACCCACAAAAATTTTATATTCGTACTCTGCCAAAGTTACAGGGGTGGGTTTGATTTGGTTTACACACCGTCTACTGCAAAACCTGGTACATCCAGGATTGTGTAGGGTCTGTGGCTGTTGTCGATGTGTATATTCTGTAAGTTCTTTATACTACATAACTTGATAGGTAGATAGGTAAACTGTAGATTCTTGAAATCCTGTAGACGTTCAGCGGACAGTATATTTTTTTACATTGAGTTTTGCGCACATGCCGTAGATCATTATACATTCTGTAATTCTTGTACATTCTGCAAAACGTGGTACAACTTAGAGATTTTGTAGACAGGTTCAGATTCAACTAAACTTGTCTAGACGACGAAAACAATATATTGCCCATTTTTTTGTCTATTGTTTATTTACACGCATTATGGAAGCCAAAAGATTAAAAAGAAATGTTAATTTACAGGGGACATTTACCTTTATTCTTTTATATAATTATGCAGTACAATACCCTTTAAATTAAAGTACCGTAGACAAATCAAAGTTCGGTACAGTTTTTATTAAGCTGTGGTATCGAAAGGTTGAGGGTATTAACTCTACATCAATCCCACACATTGCTATTAACAAGAAAAACCTTTCTGAAAAATAAGACGGATATACGGCCACGATTGAGACATAATATTCTTATAATATAAAATCTGCTATGTTTACGTGTTTTAACGTAGAAAACGGCATATTTCAATCGAAAATTATATTTACATTTTGTTGCAGGGAATGTATTGCGAAGGGTTTAGAACGGCGAAACAAAAACAACGTCCCTCCTGAAGGACGCGCTTTGTAAGGATCATCCGTATTACATTTATAATATAAACAACGAAAACGTTTCGGGAAAGGGTCGGATGTTTATTGAACTGCAAGTCGGTCAGCTAAGTTGTCCACTACCTGGATTAATATAACCAACCCTCACAATATGGTTGACCCTTTATTTCGTAGCAAGGTATGTTGTTGTGGTTGGAATAACTGCCTGATAAATTACGTGCACACAAATGTAATCCTTACCTCAAGTTTGTATAATCCCAAATTTGAGGTAGTACTACCCAAATTGGCAGTTTTGTTGGTTTGCAAACATTGTTTCCCAAGTGAAATTCTGAATGTTGTGCACAATGATCGCTTGACTTGTATCAATAGATGAAGTGCAATCAGCAAATACGGTATAAGGAATTTCTGGAAATGTGCCATACCGTTTGAAGCTAAGCACATTTCAATTGCGCTAGAGGAAACCTGATACTATACAGCGGGAGACTTATGCCTACTAACAATGTCTGATGTAATGCCATTATATAGCTATATGCTTATTAAGTCTACGTGAAGGATATCAGGTAAAACTCTTGACTCTGACGAATTGAATGCAGCGCAATTTGTAATGAAAGGATTAGGGGTTGTTCAGAGCATCGATAACGACATAGTACACAACATAACAAGTACACGGAACTTGTATCAGTTTAGGTATATCGTAAATAGACTAAATCACTCGTAGCGCATTTTCCAATATTTCCAGTCTAAATTCATTGCATAAATTCCTTGAAATCAAAGCGGCAGAAACATGATTCATACCATCATAATTTTTGCATACAATTTACAAACCGCTTAAACTAGAGGGTTAGTGTTAAAATAAACGTTTCTTTTATAGGCAATTTGAGTGATTGACGTGATACTTACGTAAGAATCAAAAACTCTAAAACTGTGCGGAATTTAACAATAAAATAGGGTTCAAGTATAATCGAAGTCCTGTGTTATCCCCTTGACAGTAGTTTCAATTAGTTGGAAACGCCTTGAATTCACTTTTAAAAAATCATTCTCAAAACGTATTTGGCGGAGTGGTAGGAAGTGAAAACTTCTCAATTTAATCTTGCTGTACAATATGATCGTTGTTTTACCACGTTGTATGGCAATACTTATTCTTTGCCGTAAGTAAGTGGTAGTCCGGGGTTCCCCGGTAATATTGGTAATGCGTTTTCCCAGGTATTCCACAAAATTACAAGCTTCTCTACACCAAGGTCCCAATGTCTCTACTCGGCGAATAACAGCATGTTTTGCCCTACCACCTCATCAAAAAGAGAGGAAGACAGGGAGAGCACAAAATTTAGTCCATTTATCCGTTTCTCAAACAGACTTAGTGAATAACAGCATATTTGTCACCAAAAAGATGCATAAAGATTAGAAGTGTACAAGACGTCCTGTGCACCAACGGACGTGCTTTGCTGCGTCGCAAATTTAGGGCGACTTGAAATAAAGAAAATAAAATAATAAATTGAGTAAGCCTGTCAATGCTTATTTTGATTGTATTAAATAACGTGATTGAAAAACTTTGTACAAAGTGACGAAAGTCCTTGGCATGGCAGTAACGATTCGTTATCCTCCAAATTTTCACCGGAGTCTCCAATTGAAAAGCACAAGTACTTGCTTTACGAAAAAATTGAAAATTTCATAAATTTCCAGAAGCATCAGTTAAAATTGCCGAAATTAAATATCTAAACGTATTCACGTGGATGGGTTTGCTAACCTTAATATAGATAAGCGTATTTTTTATGTTGCCGTTGTTTACGATATTTTTCATTTGTTATAGGTTAGTTACATGTCACATGTTCCTGGCAAATTCGAAGTTGATTCATATCTATTCTCTATTGTATTTATATGGGAACCCAGTTACTTGAGTAGGCAAGGTTAATCGTTTGATTTCCTTCCACATTTTAGTAACTTTCTCGGATATCTTATCTGCACCGATAACAGTATCGTTAACACTTGAGTAATGAGTATTCGACAAACTAGTAGTTCGATCTATTAAGATACCGTCAAATTGGGCAGGTACTCAGTCTTTGCTAATAACTTTCCATTATAATGTCAAAAAATTTTTATTTTTATGAAACAATTTGTTGATACTTTATACCCTTCAAGCGAATTTTCTCGTATCAAACAATTTTTATCTACTTTCGACGCTAAATGTTCCATATCTTTGAATAACAGTATTACGTATAACGGGCGATCAAAAATGAGTTGCTGTCGAGTCGCCTTTCAAGTTACATATGATTTCCCATGTAAACAAAAGTTCCAAATGTGTGTAATTACATTATTAAATTACATTCCTAGTATTCAAAATAATTATTTTTCTAGCACGAACAGCTTTGTGAAGCGAAATGGGCAGCTCGTCAGTATTTTCGGTATGCAATAACTGTAATTATAAAAATACTGATCCCAGTAGGTACCACAACACGCACTGGTTTAGGTAAAATTAACGTATCCGTTATCGTAATTGAAAACGCTTACACAGTTTTCACATAGATTTAGTCTCTATTTGCATAATTTAGAAATTGCAGCTGCAGTTTGTCAGTTTTAGTTAGGGAAGTTTTAATGGTAATTACACGTCCTATACGTTGTGCCAAATATGTACATACTTGGGCTTCTGCAGGGCAACTGTGTACTTATCGATTTAAAATTATCTACATTTTGGGAAGCATGTTTTTAGAACGTTAATTTTAATAAACGAAAAATAATTAGGTATACATTTATGACGCTCCGTTAAAAAAGCTCCTTTGTTCTCCTATACCCGAAAACCTATTGAATTAGCATTTTGTGGTGGTATTAAACCTTTTTTAAAAAGGGTTTTTATACTTTTTGCCATAAAGTTAACCATGTGAATATATATCTGATATTAGCAGCAAAGGCAGTTTAGGGTACAGTAAAACATAAAGTAGGTGCGCAATGGGCTATTGAATTCAAACAACATAATGAAATTTCTGGGACAAATATCTAATTCCTCTGTCGTATATAATAAAAACCAAAGGAACATCCTGCCCATTTCAACATACGGTGGAATCGAGAGATAAAATAGTCAAGTAATCCATGCATTAGAATTGAATGTAGAAATGTGAGACACGTTTCCATATTTTAGATGTAAAACTTTTCTACGCTGAAACACTAATTCAATTTCGTGATGAGTGAATGTACACTGTACATTAAAAAATTTAAGAAATTGTGCCATTATCAAATTCAAATTCCAATTACATGAAGTACAATCGACGCTCATCAACACAATTTTATTGTTGTGCGCACATTCTACGTTTTCTTGCAAATGAAAGTATTAAACATTAAAATTATGTTTAATTAAACATAAATTTGGTTGGTCCAGTGACGTGAACATTTTATACATTAATAGGTCAACGCTGTATGAAATATTTCCACGAAATATGTCGATTATGCAGTTTGCTGGTTTCCTATACCTACTTATTGGGCTTTTTGTCTACGAAATTCAGCCGCCTTTAGAAATCTTATTAGCAACGCTTCGGTGAATTATATCAACCCTTGCAATTTACAAATTCAATTGACCGTTTTCCCTACATTCTTTTCTACTGATTTAATAAACAGTTCCCAAAAACTCGCCAAAAGCACTAACAAAATTACCTCAAAATCCATTAGGCTTCTTATTGATAAAAGTAATGCACATCCAAAGAAAAGGCAAGTAATTACATTGCGTAAATCACTTAAAGAAGTAACCAACGGAACGGAACCCATCTGCCAGTCGTGCGATAGTGTGGCCGGGCACAAAAGAAGCCACCAATTAAACGCCGCTAGGTAGCAGAACGTGAGTATCCTGAAAAAAAAGATAAAATTAACCGGAAATATTCATTAAAAGCTTAACAAACAGAAAAGCGCGGAAACGGCATTTAATTAATATTTGGTTAAAGAAAAACCTGATGGCATCGAAAGTTTGTACAGATTATCTGTGGAAGCCATCCATACGTTTATTGAATACTAAATCATTGTACGTTAACGCCCCTTAGCAGTTTTATTACAAAAGTTTACTATTACAGAAGTTTGATATCGCAGTAGGTAATCTATTGTATTTGGGGATTATATTCAACTCTCATTGTAATTAAGTAAACCTAATTAATCATACAGTGGTCACTACAAATTCGTTGTTGGATAACAACACCGGCGCCCACGATTATTATTTATTTACGGTACTTTAAAACGGAAAATCGGAAAATTAAGGAAGGATTAACAATATTCGGCCAAGATATGATTAATGCAATATTTTGTTTTAATAATGATACTTTGCGTTTGCCGGATTTGTATATTTATAACAATCAATTTTTAATTTTGTATTATTTAAAGTATTTTCCTTAGATCCACATGAATAAACTCGAATGTACAGAGAACAATAAAATAAATTATACTGAAATACATGTCCACCTTCTCATTATTAGATATATAGTTATTTATAAGTCCGGTAGGTTACTTGTAACAGTATTAGCCTATTTAGACATTCGATAGCCCAGGCAAATTAGTGGTCCAGTCCCTAAAAATTGCTCGAGAGCTGGAAAACGTTTAAAGCCCTTTAAGGGATCCCAAATAACGGGTAACGGGTTCGCGACGATTTCTAGGTTGTGCGTCAGATTTGAGAGCCTAAAAAGCGCAAAATGTTTGCACTTTTTTGAACATTTCATTTATAACTCGAAAAGTACTTATCCTACAGAAAATTTTACTCTCTTCCTTTCTAAAGAGCATTAAATTATGCGTCGAACGAAACATTGAAATAAATTTAGCCGTTCAGCCGCAATCACCCGTCACAGATGGGCGATTTTTACAAACTTATCTCAAAAGTTGACAACCCTCAACTTCAAAGGCCTGTAGGTCGAAAAGAACTGCACCGATTGAAAAATATCATAGGATCAAACTTGTAGATACTGTAATTGTCAGTCAGATGCTTTTTGAAATTTCCAATTCGCTCACTCCAGTGCTGAGATATGAATTTTAAACCGAAAGAGTCCTTAGCGCCAAATTTCCGCTAAGGCGGTACAACGCAGGAAACTTCGTCTGAACTCAAAACTTGTCACTTTCTTGCATTTATTCATGTAAAATTGAACGTAATGTACTGAATTTAAACTCAAATAAATTTAACTAATTGAGGACCAACTTTAATTACTTCATGTATTCATAACTTTGAGGATGCAGATACCACGATTGTTGCTACTGCGGTGGAAAGATCAAGGCATGGAAGGAATGTGTTCATTGTGGGGGAGGACATAGATTTAATGGTTTTGCTATAGACTCTCAGTCGAAAATCCTCTTCAGCTTCCCATTGATGGTGGGATAGGCTTCTGAGAATGTTAAGCCTACCTACTAAAGAATAGACAGTTGTCTTTTTAATTTTGTGATGTGGCCATTCCAACTTAGTGTATTGTCGAAAACAGTCCCTAGGATTGAGAGTTGATCGACCATGCGGCCATTATATTGTTTAGAGTTAATGTTTGGATTGGCCTGATTATTTTTTCTTCTGGAAAACTTAATAACTTTGGATCCTGAGAAGCAGATGCCGATTTTGTTGATCGCTTCGTAGAGAGCATCCACTATTTTTCGAATTATGTTTACTGTCGTGTCGGTGTTTCTACCATGACAGCATATGAACAGGTCGTCAGCATAAAGACCAGCGCATGTAGGTGGTTTAATTGTTTTACATATATCGTTAATGGATAGGATGAACAATGTTGGGCTTAGTACCGAACCTTGTGGTACACCATTTCTCTACGTGAGGGTGTTTGACCTCTTTTCAAGGGCTGTCACTGTGAAACAATGATTCCTTAGGAAATTTTCAATGAAGTACGAACGTACACACATACATACAGAAAAAAATTTATTCTTATAAGTTGCTTAAAATGATCTAAAACGTCGACATTTGATGAAGTTTTAACATGTCCAAAAAACGGTGATCGCAATAGCCACCTAGCTCACGCTAGGAAGCTAAAAATTGTAGTTACATGCGCGTTTACGATTTTTGTCTTTTTTTTGTGTCATTATTCACTCTCCTACTTAGCAGACTCTTTTTATTTAAAATCTGACATAGGCGGCGCTGGATATAGATGGTTGGATTTATTATGTTGTTTTGTTACAAAATGCAGGGCATGTATTGTAACGGGCGATCAAAAATGAGTTGCTGTCGAGTCGCCTTTGGAAGTTCAAATTAAGTACGATTTCCCATGCAAACAAAAATTCCAAAGGTGACTCGACAGCAACTCATTTTTGATCGCATAGTATTAGGTATCTGAAATATTTAAGTAGATAGCAATTTTCTAATTCTATATTTTATTTACTCCAAGCTTAATGTTAGTCGAGTTTGAACGTTTGAAACACCAACATGCAAACTGAGAAATTAATTCATAAAGTTACATGGCCTAAAGCCTCCTGTACGAAGGAAAAAATGTAGGCTCCCCCACGTACTTTTATAAAGACATCAACGTTGTCAGGTTGTGGGAATATTATTAAAGAATTGAAAATGTACATGTACATTACACAAGAGCCTCATACAACTTTATAGGTTATTGAAAATATGCATAAATTTGCCTTTGGCTTTAGTACGCTTTTACATTTTTCTAAATAATAATAAATGGTATAACTGCATGTATTTTAATAAAGTAAGTTTTACATGCATAATATATTTACACAAATGTAAGCACATTTTAATGTTTTTAAGCCATACAAATCCGACCCGAGTAATTTATAAAAACGGTATATGCAGCACAACAAGCATTTTTGTTGAATAAAACAATATTTCTGAAACAAGCACGACATGAAGCATCGGCTGTAATGGTTGAAATGGGTGGCAAGAGCTTTAAATTAGAAACAATAAATGCCGAGAGTACGCCTTTCTGTCCATCTCAACAAAATATTTGGAAAAAATTCAGTCAAACAGCAACAGATTCTAAAGCACACAGTTCATAAAGGAATATAATATAATGTCTTCTACCCTTTTAGGCGGTTTTGATGGATAGATTCTTATAGTCTTATGAAAAAAATCTTCGTCAATTTTGCAGGGAATTGTTAAGAATGTGATCAATGTGGTGCTATACGAACCATTAACTCGAAAATAAAGAGAAATTATCGTAGGTGTTTCATGCAAAATAAACATCGAATTTATTTTTATGAACAGAAAGAATTATGATCCCACAATTTACGTAGGAAAATCTAGCTCGATGCCGAAAAACTAAATTAAATGCACCATCGTATGCAGTAGGTCTTATAAAGTTAGAAAAGAATCCACCCGTTCGAGTGGAACATAACATAAACTTATCCTACTCGAGATGAGGACGAAAGCTGCAGCTTTATCATGAGTACCTATAGCAAACTTCCAGGCCTTAGAGACCATTGCTCTTAATCATCATTAAAGATTTGTTTGATATCATGTTTCTCGAATAACCTTATTTTTCGATTATTCAATTATTTTTTTCTATGCTATTGATGATTCAGCAAAAAAAACAAGATTGTTAATGGAGCTTTGCATATGTGAAAGTGATCTATAACAAATACAAAAAATATACGTTAGCAGGGGAGCGGGACTAAGTTTTTGGCGAGGGGAAATGGGGTGAAAATCGTATGAAGGCAATTTCCGGCAAAAGTTGAAATCAGAGACTAAAGTGTTCAATGGGAAAGTTGTAGATCGTGAAAAACTCTACAACTTTCTTTACAGTCGCTTTCTCACATAACCTCAAAGTAACCGAAAAAATCGCGGAAGATCGTGTTTTTTGTTTTTTATCGTTCAAATGAAAATTGTCCTTCAGAGATTTATCGTAGTACGGAGTTCCATTTAGTGTCATTTTTTTCTTTTTCAACCTATTGAAGAAGCTCAAAAAACGAAAAAAAATCCAAAAACGACTTCAATAACAGTGAATTTTCTAGTAAATATTGATAATTTGTTTAAATTTTGGAAATTTTACAAAAACTGATTTCAGCATTCTACGAGAAAAAATACATTAGAAACTACATTTTATTGTTTGAACAGAGGCTTTGTTCCTTGATAGTATTATTAGAAAGAAGAAACTACTCTGCAATGCAATGTTTGGGAAGCTCAATTGATGTAAAACTAGTAGTGGGAAATTTAAAATTCTGCAGGCATATCCTTGGTAAAAATGAATCAGAAGACACTTCTTGTGAGATGGAGTAGCCTGGCCATTCTTATTTTTTTATTCCTTTTTGTAAATATTGTGAAAATTGTCCAGAATAAAATACCTTGAAAACAATTGGTTTTTATGTACCTAATTTGATACCAAATTGTTTATACATCTACCAACAAATATAAAACAAAACCTAAGTGAATTAATTAATTCCGAATAAAAAAATTCAAAATCCTCGTGTGAGAGGGACTTCAGCCCATTTTTGTGTGGCAGATCAGTATTCTATTTGCCAGTTTTCAAGTATTGACTCCACCATCAGTAAGACCTTGTTGGAGGCAACCACATTCCCTTGCCGGTATCCAGTTTCGACGTCCCGTTGACCCGCAATTCACGTTCGAATAGACTCCACCATCAGTAAGAACATGTCGGAGGCTACCATATTCCCTTTGTTGGTACCCACTTCCGACGCGCGTTTGAAGTTTTGACTCCATGATCAGTAATATCTTGTCGGGAGCTACCACATTCTTTTTGTCGGTACCCACTTCTGACGCCCTCACAGTTTAGTGAATTCCGTTAAAATCCCTTCAAAAATAGTAGTTAATTTTTGGAGCACTCCTCATAGCTGGAGATTCTATTGGCGATACGAGAAAGAGAGACCGCTATTCAAACTTTACGAAACTTTAAATCGCGTGGAAGGTAACTT